CTTTTTCTCTTCTTTTTTCTTTCTTCTGTCATTCCTTTTCTATTTGTGTGTGTACATGAGTGATTGAGTGTTCATTTTTTGATTTTTCTTTTTTGTTCTTCTCTTGTTTTGTTTAATGTGTGTGTGAATATGTATGTGAGGGTTCGATTTGCCTTCCCTCTTTTTTTCTTCTTTCATTTTTGTTGGCTGTGTGTGTGTATGTTTGGTTTTCTTGTTTTTTTGGGTTTTTTTTTTGTGTAGAAAGAGAACAAGTTGACAGCCTAACAAATCACCTAAGGGAACTGGAAATGCAAGACCACCAAAACCCTAACATCAGTAGAAGAATCCAGATCACCAAAATAAAAGCCCAAATATGGAGCATAGAAGGCAAACAAACAAACAAACAAAAACATTGAAAAAAAATCAACAACACAAAAAGCTGATTCTTTGAAAGGATAAACATGACTGATGGACCCCCAACGAGAATAACCAAGAAAAGAGAGAAAAAAGCCTGAATAAACACAATCAGAAATGAAAAGATCAAATCACAACTGATCCCAAAGAAAGATTACAAAAGATTATCAGAGATTACTATGCACACCTATATGGAAACAAACGAGATAACCTAAATGAAATTGAGGACTTTCTGACATCACACAACCTCTCAAGGTTGAAACAAGAAGACATTGAGACACTAAATAGACCAATAATAACCCAGGAAATTGACTTCATCATAAGAAAACTATCTACAAAAAAATGCCGTGGACCAGATGACTTTCCATCAGAATTCTACAAAACATACAAAGAGGGGCTAATACCAATCCTATTGAAAGTATTCCAGGCAATCAAGAAAGACAAAACTCTCCCCAAATCAGTTTATGGAGGTAACTTCACACTGATACCCAAACTGGGTAAAGATCCAACAAAGAAAGAGAACTACAGGCCAATATCCCTGATGAACATAGATGTAAAAATTCTCAAGATTCTAGCAAATTGGATCCAACAACACATCTCAAAAATCATCCACCATGACCAAGAAGCCTTCCTCCCTGAGATGCAGGGCTGGTTCAACATCTGCAAGACCACAGATGTAATTAAATACAGCAATAGGTGTAAAAACAAGAGCCACATGATTATATCATTACATACAGAAAAAGTTTTTGATAAAATTCAGCATCCCTCTTGATAAAAACCCTTGAACACCTAAGCATAGAAGGAATATACCTCAAAATAGTAAGCACCATCTATGATAAACCTACAGCCAACTTATTGCTAAATGGACAGAAATTGCAAGCATTTCCCCTGAAAACAGAAACAAGACAAGGCTGCCCACTCTTACCCCTTCTGTTCAACATTGTGTTGGAAGTCCTAGCTAGAACAATCAGATAAGAGACAGAAATCAGGAGTCTCCAAATAGGAAAAGAGGAAGTTAAGTCATCCCTCTTTGTTGATGATATGGTCATCATCTTCAAAATTCAAGATAATCTGTCAGAAACCTTCTTGCATTGATAAGGACTTTGGCAAAGTCTTAGGGTACAAAATCAATATGCAAAAGATAGTCTCATCCTTATTCACCAACAATAGACAGGCAGAGAACCAAATTAAAAGCACAATCCCATTTACAATAGCCATCAAATAAATAAAATACCTCAGCATCTTCCTAGCTAGAGAGATGAAACACCTATACAATGAAAACTGCAAAACACTGCAAAAAGAAATCAAAGACACAAACAAATG